CACACGCACACACACACACACACACACACACACACACACATTTATACAGCTGTAAGTTAATATCTTTGCTGCATACCACGAACAAGATCCACATCAATCAGTTCTGTCTTAAGTTTTGTTGTTCTCATTGGAACATGTGTAAGTCCATCAAGAATATGTTGTTCTATGGTTCTCTCCCATTGCTGTTTATCATACGTTCCAATCTTTTTTTGATACCTGAAAACATTTATTTCTTACTATTGTAGTTATCATTCTTGTCTATATTTCTTTATCGTTGTTATTTTCCAATTAACATTAACATCTAAATTAAATGTCTTAATTTAGGAAGTCATATCGTTGACAAACATTTGACTAACTTTAAAATAATATAAAACAAATTTGACATAATCAAAATTTCTCACCAATGCACTAGTTCGTTGAGACCCATATGGATTAAACGCATTTAAAGTTGCAGCTTGCGACAATGATTTCTGATTGCAACGAAAATACAACAGCCCGCAAAGAAACAGAATACTCCTACTTTTCGCAAATTCTATACGCAGTTAGAAAACAGTCAGAGTGATATTATCATATATTTATTGCATCGTATCTAGTAGAATGTGTCGAAATTTTCGTGCTCATTCAGTCGTCCATAAATGGGATTATCAATGATTTCGTATTATTACATTAGATTGGTCGAACTTGACGTCAAGATGGAACGATTTGTCGCACAACAAAGCACAATTCATGAACCTATGTGGACGGAACGTACATACATCGAGGCATTATGATTATCCGATTTGGATCCCAGACATTGCCAGACATCCCAAATGAAGGGCAAAGATGGCGATATTGCGATTCACGATTCCCTTTAAATGAACATCTGCGGAGCAGCGATTTCAGATGGCGGCACTGACATGTTTGTAACTCACTGACAGATGCTGTCAGTGAATGACATTGAAATAAATCGATACTGGGGCATTGAAAAGAGAAAGAATAAGAAAATCTGCAGAAAAGCGAACGCGTAAATGACCAAATCAAACGCAATCTTTAATAAATACAATACAATTATATTGGGCGTTCCGAAACTCATCGGCTACGTATTTAACATTTAAAGAGCTGGAAGAAACATAACCTATAAAATGTATATTTTGAAAAGCCTTACAAATATTATACAAATTCGTTAAGAATTAATATAAAAGCAGTAAAGTTACAAGTTTCAATCATCCTGTGCTCTATAATTTTGAAGGCATCTATACAGTTGATCATCTGGAGATATATAACAAAAAATCCTGCAAAATATCAAATATGACAAGATAAAAGGAGGATATGATTTATTGATTCATATGATTCTGTATTATATACATAACATCTTCAGATTTAAAAAATGGAAAATATTACTGTTAATTGGTATTTGCATTCTTGCTTTAAGAATAAACGTTATTTTGCAAAGTTTATATCCTTCTATAACACAGCTGACGGAGCTGCACAAGTGTCCAGCGTGTTATGGCGTTTCTACATGTCATAACATTCACAAAATAGATCTCTTATGGAATGATGTTAATGCGATAATTTCTCACTTGTTTGGCGTTAAAAATGTATTCTTTGGAGTATATAATGAAAGTAAAGTGGTGCTAAAGAAATTGGCACACTCTTCTGAATTAAAAGCACTTGATATTACACTATGCAGTGAACTCCACTTGGGATATCCCTGCTTAAATGTTCCATTAGACAGATATAAAGCAGATTTTTATAATCTTATTAGAAAAATAATTACTTCTGATTTTTCCAAGGATGATACAAGTCGATTAAGACTTTGTCCAACAATAAGACATTTAGATGATCTATTTTATAATATTCATCTTAACAATAAACATATTGAACCCACACAATATCTAATTAATCTCTGGACATTGGTTTCCATAAACCCAGAGCCTTTAATACTTCAGGTAAATTATGAAAGTATACAAAAACTATATAGTTTATTTTAATTATAGGATTTATTAGATCATGTTAGACTATTTTTGGATAGAAAGATTGAATATGATTTTATATATCTTTTATCTCGAGACGTTCCTTTTAGGTATTATCTGCCGAAAATGGATGGCCTGTGCCAAGATATTTTGGAGCTTGCGGTCGGATTATTATTGAAGAATATGTTGGGTTACCACTATCTGATTATTATGACAAATCTTGGATTCAAAGAGTAAAAATAGCTTCAAGCCTTTTAAATGCTGCTTATTTGTTTACCTTTAAAAACAACATGTTTGGTTTTTATTTAACGGATATATCAGCTGATAATATTGCCGTTGACGATGAAAATGTAGCGAAATTTATTGATTTAGAGAATATCATTATTGTTGATAAAAATATTTCTCAAGAAGGTAGTAAACATTTTCTTGTTATAAAGATATTTATGAAATAAAATGAATATTATATATTGTATTTATATGATATTAATTTATAGATGAACCAAAGGAATGGCAGAAAATACATAATACGATACACTTCGATTGTCCTAATTGTTTTGCATTTTCTTCCAAGGATATTTGTAATCATTATTTAAGTGATCACAATTATTATGCAATTTGTCAGGTAGTCGCTATTTTATTTATATATAATTATAGTCAGGTATATCAAGTATCTTTTTATATATATACTGTGTATTAATTAAATATAATTTATTAGTATATGTGATTGCAGCTTCTATTAAATTCAGGAAATGAAAATCAATTTCCTGGTGGATTTCTTCACGATATACCTACTAATATTGTGCAGCAATATCCTGACATTGAGGATTTATTGCAACAATGTGCTGTTCCTCGGTCTACTAAGTCTAGAATTTTTTTTGGTCAGCGACTGAAGGTATTATTAGATATGATTTTAGATGAACCACAACATGAATATAACGTAAAGTAGCTTGTTGCAATAATTCAAGAAATTTTTTAATATTATATTATTATGTTAAGTATTTTAATTATATCTTACTTTTTTTAAATTTATATACATGTAATATTGTAAAGAATGTTACATGTATATTTTTGATATTAATTTATGATTTAATGTTACATTACAAACTTCAATAAAGTTAAGGAAGTTGTATATAAAAAGGGTATATAATTATAATTAAATTGATGATGAATACAACTACATTCGTACATACTTGATATGTTACTTTGATATTCATTAGCATTTATTTTAGTAATTAATATAGTGAATAACGTGTAATATAACTTCGAATATGGCACAATTCTGAATGAAATAAGAATTTAATCCAATTTTCAAAATTCAAGTTTGATTTTTTTCTATTTATCCTTTAGCATCACATCTATATAATAACATATTACTAAATTTGAACCATGAAAATTAGATTCAAGTTTTTTATTTTATTTAGAAATATACCATATTCGAAATTATACCATCTTATTTCCTATCTATGTTTGCAGAGACAGAATAAAGTAATGTTAATAAATAAAAGAATATTTTATATTTTTTAACTTATATAGAAAAAATGTTCAATATACAATTCGATATTATCTAAATAGTAATAACACTTTACATTACAAGATAGTTTTACATGCGTCATATTCATTAATTATAAATATCTTACAACTTTATTTTAGCGTATGTATGTACATCTTATAGTCAAACATAAGTCAAATATTATAACACAGTTGCCTAAGCTTACTGATCTGTCTAATGAATGTGTACTAGGATGATTCATTTTTGTAGGTAAAACAAATTAGTTTTTTTTTTTCGAGATACACTGCTATGTACATGAATTATTATTTTCCTAGGAACTCAAGAAAAAAAATATTTGTCAGTCTTATTAATTTCATGTCCAGTTTTTCATGTGAATGTAAGCTTTATATCCTCCATAATACTTTGTTATTTATCAGGTGACAGTTTTTGAACTTTTTCCTTTAATAGCGCAATTTCTTCTTGTAGTTCTTGAATGGTGTCATCTTTAATGCGATTATTATTTTTTAAAGTCACAATAGTATCTTTTAATCCATTTATTATTACATCCTTGTCGTCATCAAATTCCTTCAAAAGCTGATTTGTCGATGGTCGTTCGGCAGGATCCTTTCGTACCATTTGTTTGACTAGTTGTGTCTGAGTAAACGTACATACACAATTCAGATTCAATAAAGATCAATATATGAAAAAATTTTTCATAACATAACAATAGACAATAACATGTGGACGCTTCATCACAATTTGTTTGAACCTCTACGCATCATTTTATATTTTGACTAATTTTATATTCTGACAGTAATTACAATACATATACGATAACCAAAGATTTACGATTTCTACCATTGCGAACTAACAATATATGAAAGATTTTTAAACTATTATAATAGTCAGTCATCAGCGCTATATACATATACAATTATTATTATACTGTAGGAAAAGAATTCTTAACGTTAATATCTAGGAGCCACTTATTAATTACATTTGTAATCCTTTTATTGTTTTTTTACATTTAACCGTCTAAATTATTATATGTAAATTTAACATTGATAATGACCCGATCGGAGTCGAAACATTTGTTTTTGACACTATGTTTATATTGTTAATTTTTAACTTTTCTTTACAAACATTAAATCTATTGTCTTTCGCTCGTAGTCCTTCTAAACATACTTTTATTTAATAATTATATATAATAAATAATTTAATGTATTTAAAACTTACCCATTTTTGTCGCTTAAAAGCTTCTGGTACTTTATCATTCTTTAAAGAACTAATTATAGAACTTAACTCCATTTGAGTTTTTATTGGAATTAATAGCTCGATGAGAACGATTCCTATACTATAGATATCACTCTGTAGAAAAAATATATATCATAACCAGATATATTCAAATGTAATGCTTTATATTCATCAGTATTTTTTCATCTTTTAATTTACCTTTCGATCACAATTTCCCTCTAATTGTTCTGGTGCTGCGTACAAATGAGTACCAATTACAGAATGATGCTTTTCTTTTTGTAATGGACAAGCTAAACCGAAATCACCTAATTGAATTTGAAGTTGTCCGGTTGTCGAAATAAATATATTACTTGGCTGTAAAATATATTCTTGGTTGTAAAATGTAATCATATTTCGGAAGAGATTTATATTATGTTGATAAAGATATACGCATTTTTACCTTTATATCGTGATGTACGACTTTTTGGGAATGCATATAATTGACTCCACAAAGTAGCTGTTGAAATATTGCTTTAACTATTGGTTCAGGCGTTACACTTATTTTACTGCGCAGCCACTGCTCGAGTGTTTGCTCACACAAAGACATTTGAATATATAAAATTACGTACGATTGATTCTGTTGACCCAAAACACAACAAACCTTTTAAAATTTATTATATTTACCGATTTATTATAATATACTTTCAATATCTATTTTGTCTCGGAACAAAATATTTATATATTTAATAGACAGCGCTAACAATAAGAGATTGTTAAAGTAATTTTTAGTAATTTATTTTTTTAACTTTTTCAATAATTAATGTTTCGAATATTTGAACAAACTCCTACATTGTTTTACTATGGACTTAAGAGTCTTGCTTCTGATCAATAAATCAATTATCTTCGTTTTAATGATTAACACGTATTGTTCAATTTTTACTTATTGATATACATATATATTATAAGTTGTTAAAAATTTACATAATTATTCTTTATATTAGTGAAGTAATAAAAAAGTTATTACATATTATAATTAATATTTGCTTCTTTTTGACCGCTTTTTTTTTTAATTTACCTTGAAAAAAAAGAGCCGAGAGAAAGATATATATATTTCTTAATTATTTAAATACTTACTTTTTTATAAGTATACATACATACTCCTTGACTAGCAGATTCTGTGTCTGCAATTGTTTCATTTAGATTTTTATTATTATTGCTATTTCGAAAAGACACTACGTCTGAACAAGATTCGTCGGTACATTCTTCTGTGACATTTTCCTCAACAATTCCCTCTTCTATGATATTAACTGATGAATTAAGTTCCACAAATCTTTTACTAATAGTGCTGTCATTAAAAACATCACTAGAATTCCGATATATCTTATTTTGCTTTTCCTTTTTACCTGTATACACATCAATTGTAGAAGATGTTTTAGTATCAAGTGGTACATTTTGTTCATCGACGCATATTTTACTATTATTAAAATTCAAACCATTTTTGCTATCGAATAAATCGTCGATGGACTGTGAGCTGTACGATTGTGATCTATATGATTTTCGATCTGTAGATGACAAAGTATTCGACGATGAAAATGGTTCTATCCAAGCCGCATTGTAGGAAACAATATTAGTATGCTTTAATTTAGCTAATGTCCATACTTCATTTAGTTGCTGGTGGATAGTCTCTATATGATCAGCGGGCATAATTATCTTTTTAATAGCATATTCGACGCCATCGAGACGATGTTGCGCTTTATAAACTTTGCCAAAACCTCCACGAGCAATGAAGCATATTTCGTGAAATTCATCATGATAACGGAATTTCGGTGTTATGAATCTGTAGAGTACGAATAATATGACGTTATAATATATATACTCTCTAACAAAAAATAGTGTAATAATAACAAAATATTACAAACAGGTCTAGATTATTATTAAAAAATAGAATAAAATAAATAAAAATATGGCAAAATGCTACAGGATTATTTCTATTTTTCTATTTGTTAAAAAACATATTGCAAGATTTGGAAAGACATATTGTATAAAATACTGTAATACCTTGAATACCTTGGTATAGATATAGACAGAGCATTTTCACTTTCAATCTCACCACGAGCGACTGCAAGCATGTGATACAAAGCATGTTGATATTGTCTTCTTAACATTTCGAATTCCGGCGTATTGTAAGTATCGTTAATTAATTGCATGTGGTGTAGTTTATCACAGATCGCTATAAAACAACCATTGTTGTGTAATAAAACAAATGTCTTAACAAAAATATTTCTATAAACATGTTAATAGTAAAGTTTAAAGAGAAAGATTACTATAATATAATTTTTTTCCGCGAACTTTATCCTCTTCTAACAAATTGCATAATTGTCGTAGAAGTGATTCGATTAAGATGCCACTGGTTATTTGTTGTCTTCGTGGTGTAATTGACCCGTGTTCATTTTCATCGTTCTGACAAAACATCAATCTCATGTTGTTATCTGAGCCTAAAATCAAGACACGTAAATTCAAGATACTATGTATCCTAATTTTAGAAAATTACAGAACTGTCCATTTGAATTGTTAACAAAAATGATGCAATGTCTACAGAGTAATAAAAAAATGTGACCACAAAGTTATGTTCATTTAATCATTAATAATGTGTATTTACAAAAATATACATTCTGCAGTATTAGTCAAGTTTTGTGTTATACCTTATTAAATATTAAAAATAATAGCTGATTTTTTTTAAAAAGTAGCTCTAATTTAAATTCAAACTTTAAGATACTTCGGAAATATTAATGCATTTTATTTTATGGATAAATTTTACCAGATAGCCAATTGAGCGATCTTTAATTTACTAACCAATGAAAATCTTTTAGTGTAAAGTTTATTTTTTAGTATTTAATGAAATGTAACTAATACTATATAGAATTTGCTTTTTTTAAGTATATACATTATTACAGTATGACTACAGAATAACATTACATACCAGTAACATATATAAAAAAGCAAACTTTGGAGTGTTAGCATACCATGCATATACTTAGTAAACTGACGTTTTGTAGTTGATTTAAATAAGTTTTTAATAATAATGTCATTTTATCATCAAAATGACATTTTTTAAAAGTACTATTTTAAGGTAAAAATTATGAGTAATAGTTCATTGCTTGATTAATGCCTTGATTTTCAAACAAAATTTTGTGAACATTTTATTATCACTTTGTACATAAAACTATTGGTATAGAAATACTATTGTGCCTCTTTGATAATTCAAAATTTTTATAATTTAAAAATTACAAAATGTCCATTTAAATTCTTAATAATAAAGAATGATGCAACATGTGTTATGACAAAAAAATTAAGAAAAATTATCATCAATAAACATTTTTGTGAGATATCTTCTTTCTTCGCAATGAAATAAATTTGCCACTTTATAAAAAATTCTACACTAAACTCAAAATTTTTATTTAGAAAATTTTTTATACAATGAAATCTCTGTTTTCTATATTTCGTAAAGATTTCAAAATAAAGCATTTTAAATGGCACATTATTTAAATATTTCACACACAAAAGTCACTCAAGCCTAAATTTCGAGGGATAATTGTTTTATCGAACGTTCAAAAAAGAGCGCCAGATTGATAGCATAACACATTTGCATTATATATATACCCTGGTCAAACGTGGTTATGGTCGCCAGAGCATTCCAAGGATGATTTATCTGCTCCGTACTTTCCGTCATTCCACAATCGGAGGGTTCTAACTCTTTTTTTTTGCGTTCCATAACGCCGACGAAAGCAGAATGACGAGACTGACTGACAACTCCAAGGTTCCACTGTTACACCTGCCGAACTGTAAACGCGGTGAACCGATGATTGGCGGTTAACGTGTTCTGTACGTGTTCCACGTACTTGCCTACCTTCCCCGAAATCCTGTCTCGGCCACCACGTCTAAGCAACGTTCCACCAGACGAGTGGACGCTAAAATCCGCGAACACCGAAGCGATGCGATGCACGAATCCGCGAATTTCGACATTGCGCCAAATATAGAAAAAAATTGTTTAAATTTTCAAACGTTCTGGAATATTCGTTAATCTTCTCGTCACGCGCACTAGATGCACCGGTTTGATAAATCAGAGAGACACGTGGTTACTATTTCGATCTTGCTAAATTCTGATTCTTCCTCAATATCCAGCTGTTTTATCCTGAGGCTTCAGAGATCAAGCAAAACTATATAGTATATGTCACGTGTATACTTTGAATAAATTTTTTTTTGAAAAGGACAATAAAATTATATAGCTTATAGCGATTTCGGCTGGGAAAATAAGTGTGCACTGGTGCATATTAAGACCGTTGTACACTGTTAAGCGGGGAGCACAGACTTTTGCATAACGCATAAAGCATGTGCATAAGGAATTTCATTGGTCCATTGACTCATGCATAAGAAAATGGACCAATGAAATTCCTTATGCACATGCTTTATGCGTTATGCAAAAGTCTGTGCTCCCCGCTTTAATCTACCACCGCGGCAGTACACGGATATAACATATGCACGAACATGTACATTGTACACGGACTTAACATGCACCAGTGTACACTAGTGCATCCCACCCGAAATTGCTATTAAACGTGCATTTTATCTATAATCGGTATTAATAATAATGTCGTTATCGACAGTCGATAAATTATCTGTCGTGCAGAGAAATAATATAAGATGCACATAGGAGGCGCGATAGGTCCGCTTCTTGGCGAAAATAGGCGGTACGACATCTTGGTCTCGGTTCTTCAGGTTCTTCACGTTCGCGGACGTCGCTGCGGTAGAAAAATTTCGACTTCACGCGATTGCATTTCAATATGGCGAACCGCGACAAAGGACGCAGAAAGCGGGGAGGATTTTCACAAGGTACCTTGGCAAAGTATTTCTATTTCGTGTACGGAGCGATCGGACGGCATCACGCCGTCGCTGGCACTCTCGTGCGCCCAACTTCGGATCGATCTCACGATTCACGATCTTTCCACGCGACTCGATCGTGCCTGATATGCGAAATTAACCTCACTATACATAGCTAACCTATAAACAAAGCTAGGCATACATTGCGATATCGCGTTATTTTATGGCGTTTAAGTGACGCGACGACTGTGATTCCAGCGATTGTAATAAGTCCTGCTCGACGGGGCAAATCCTGCGCTGTCGATCCTCGTTCAATTTCCTACTGGAACTGTTGTTCGTAGAGAGACGTTTCGCTTAGTAGAAATTCCGGCGTTGTCGAGAGTGTCAACATATATAAACCGTATACTTCGTAAAAGTTAATGTTTTGCTTCGCGAGTTCACTGACTTCACTGCACTCGATGAGGAATAGACCGTAGATGTGAAACTTTTGAGCTACAAACAAGACACTTCGGTTGTATAAGGTTGTTGGATTTTTCTTTGTCTACTTTAATGTAAACATTCTTAATATGCAATAGATCTTTTCTTTTTAGCTGACCTGTGTTAAACTTCTTATATAGTTTGTTTTTTTCTCTCAAAAAAAAAACAGGAACAATGAATGTTTAGGAAGACCAGCTAAAAGGGACAGGCCTAATATTGCCTGTTTTTTTTTAAGTTGAACTTCCTGTATACTCATAATATGATATTGAATAATTCGTCAAATGTGTTACAAAAAGAATGACGCTGTAGCATCAGTTATTTTATCTATAATTATGTGATCTAATCTACTTTTTCTTTACATTCATACAAATATTTTATTCTAATATTTTACATGTATAATTATCATTTTATTAATCATACATACAAATTCTCAAATTATTTCATGATAATGTAATAACAATTTTATCTATAATTATGTATCTTAAGTAAGAAATTATATACATGAGTATTGGCTTGATATCAATTTTATCAGATTCGATCAGCCTTTATTTTATATTATATTTTTATTATAGTATTGTACAAATATTGAAGAAATATGAATTAAAAATGAAATTATCATTGTGATATGTATATCATTATATATGACGTACAATTGATATATATTTCTATATTAAAATTGTTATTATATAATTATCATGAAATAATTTAATATTCTATAGGTATCATTAATAAAATGATAACTATACATATGAAATATTCGAATAAGATATTTGTGTGAATATAAGAAACACATTGATTAAAAACTTGAATTTTTTAATGAGTATTATTGTAATAACAATTTTCAGAATCAATGACTTCTCAATTAGAGAAGGAAAAATTGGCAGGGTTACGTGGTGGAACAAATAGAGCACCTCAGGCCTTATATAGACCAGGAAGTGGCCCTTTACGTAAATCAAGCAGATCTAACAGCACCACTGATGAATATGATAATGAAAATGGCTCGCAAGAAAAATCCAGATTGACCTCCGTCCAGTATCGTTCGAGACAGTCACAACCTAATAGAGCAAATCAGATACAAAATAGTCCACCTTTGTCACAAATCGACAATGTAGCTGAAAAATTGGACAATACCCATATTAACTACAGAAATAGCAGCAATAACGAATCAGTACGAAGCACTGGTAACAACTCTGGTGGAGGAGCAGGTAGAAATGATCCAAAAAAGAAAAATAGGAAACCTGAACAGTTGCTATATGTACCAAAAAAAGTAAAAGAAGCACAGGACGGAACTAGCAGGTAAAGTAATCTTGACCTTTTTCTCATTGATTTAAGAAGCATATTTATGGGAGAGTAATAGTTATTTTAGTAGTATCTATTACATTATTTTAATATAAGTTATCAAATTCTATTAGGTCTCCTAGCCATGTTGCATGGGAACAAGAGAGAGAAGAAAGTAACGATCGCGATTCACATTCAAATCGTAATCATAGAAGCGATCGCAATCGCGCGAGTAATTACACCATGCGAGACAATGAGAGTGAAGGCAGAGGTAAAGATGACACTAGTAAACGATATTCGGGTAATCCTCGACATCGTCATGCAAATGAGAATGAAGAACGGTGTTATTGGCGATCCGAATCGCCGGTATCTGCTAGAAACTGTGCAAATCGTAAGGATAATTCACGTGAAGTTAGACAGGTCTGTATGATTTAAAATAATGAAATTGTACGATAATATAATCATAAATTATACGATTATAAAATATGAAAATCTGTGTATATAACTTCTGTGGAAAATGTTTTTTTTGCGTGTTATTAGGGGTCGGAACCTTTATCTTTGACCAATCAGAATGATTTTAATCGTACACGAGATACTCGCAGTGTAGAGCCTGTTGGGCATTTAGATAAGTTTCAAGGAAAGCCACCATCAGGCCGACGTAATACAAAAGATAGTTTGTCAAAAAATATCAAGTTAGATTTGTTGCCACCACGATTACAAAAGAAATATCTCCTTGATAATGGATATGCATTACCTAGTCCAGGTACGTCCACAGAGGACTCCTGGAATGGTAGCAGTATTACATTTCAGGTAAAAATTTGTTTAATGCTGATTAATTTTTATACTTTGCGAATATTGGTTTCTAATAGCGATTTATAATTAAAGTAACATATGGGTTATAATATACATTTTAGCAGGGTTTGTCTAGTTATAATTATCCATCATCAATACAGCATTCACAAACGATGCAAAATCTGCCACCATCTGGGTTGTTGCAATCCCCGCAATCTAATTGGACTAACACTGTTCCAACGAGAAGCAGAGGTAGAGGTAGGCTTAGACCTGAGGAACTTGAGGGTTCAGCCGGTAGTATATTTAGGCCTGTTACACCTGACCAATATTCGGCTCCAAGTTCCAGATCTCATACTCCTAGCCAAGAATACATGAATCGGTACAATTATATAATATTATATTTATATCGAATGTTTCGTTTAAGCGATCATATGAATATGATCATTATTAAAACTTTTATTGGAATATTACAAAATTCATGGATAACAGGTCTTACGATCGCCGTGGTAGTAATAGCACTATGTATACAAGTATGGAAAGCTTAAGTCGTGCTGATAGCGTAATGATGCCTCCGCCTTCATCTGCATCGCCTGCAACTTCGCGATCAAATTCAAACAGAGGACACAGATCACCCGAGAATCATCGCAGAGGAGCAATATCACCAATAGACGATCGCACTAGTAACATGTAACTAAATATTTATAAAATCATTTCTTTTTATGCTTTTGTATATGCTCAATGACATAACTTTTATTAATTAAGGCAAAGAACAATCACCAGTAGCGCCTATGAACACAATTCGAATATGGACAAGCAGAATAATCAACAAAACACGAATTTTATTTCTATGAAAAGCGAGTCATATAACAAATTATTTTATACCACATCTGACGCATTTGTAAGTACATTAATCGATGATATGTAAAATAATCGATCAAGTATAAATATAAACAGGGTGAGTTTTTTAACTTGAGACTACAAAATATCTGAAAAAGTAAGCATTGTATAAAAAAATGTTTCAAATCCTCAATATTTTCGAGTAAGTAATTCTATCCCGCAAAAGTTAACCGTCCCCCGCCCTCTCCCCCTGCGGGCAGGGCTTGGGGTAACTTTAAAATCTTAAATAGGAACTCCTACTTTTTATTGTGGATTCTACGTCCAAAAACACGTAAATGTTGTCTAAAACATTTTTTTCGAAATCCCCATGTTTTATTGCAGATGCTACATTGAATAAAAGTAATTTTTGTGTCTGAAACATATTCTTCGAATTATCGTAGGTGTCTACGACAATTTTTTATCCGTTTTTAACTTTATCTAGGATTAACGACGTGGACGTGACGGAAATTATAATTCTTTTGTGGTGCTTGTGTACAATCATTCGAAGTGCGAATCAATAAATGCATCAAAGTTGAAGGTTATCAGTTTGAGCACTTATTGAATTGAATGATAAGAGGCAAGGAAAACAAACATCCCGAATGTGAGAGGCAAGGGGACTCACAATAAACAAGCACCCCGAATGTGAGAGGCAAGGGGACTCACAATAAACAAGCACCCCGAATGTGAGAGGCAAGGGGACTCACAATAAACAAGCACCCCAAATGTGAGGGCAAGGAGACTCATAATAAACAAGTCGTTAATCCTGGGTAAAGCTAAGAACGGATAAAAAATTATTGTAGACATCTACGATAATTCGAAAAACATGTTTCAGATAAAAATTACTTTTCTTCAATGTAGCATCACTGTGTAATAAAACATGGGGATTCTCCTTAAAGCAAAATGCCGACTGCGCAGCGCCATTTATCAGGAATCGGAAAAAAAATAGTTTAGATAAAATTTACGTGTTTTTGGACGTAGAATCTGAATTTGCAATAAAAAGGGTTCTCATTTAAGATTTCGAAGTTTGAGTCCCACCCCCAGAGAAAGGGAGCTGGGGGCAGCTAACTTTTGCGGGATAGAATTGCTCCCTCGAAAATATTGAGGGAGGTTTATTTGGAACATTTTTTTCGTACAATGTTTACTTTTCCAGATATTTTGCAGTCTCAAGTTAAAAAACTCACTCTATCATTATATTTCAATTAGGATTGGAGTGAAGAAGTTGAATTAAATGAAAAGTTAGAACAAGAACATTTGAGTCGTAGTTCATCCGTATTAAGCATACGGGAAAGCACAAGTGTGCCTCGAAATCAGGCCACAGGCGAGAGTCACAAGCGACGTAAAAAAAAAAAACGTGATAAATATCGTGATACTGATCGGTAAGCGTGACTAATTGTTTATCTACGTTTATCTTTTTTAAGATGATTATAATTATTGAAGAATTTTTCGTGTAATGAGATTATATTCTGAATTATTTTAGTGGCAGTAGTCGAGATAAAGGACGAGGTGACAGCCGCGAACGTCAGAAAAATCAACAGAATAGAGAGAATGATAATTATAACAATAATCAAAAGAATAATAACAATAATAGTAATAGTAATAGGAGATATGATCACAGGAAACGTAATATTATTCAACGTAGTCGAGAATCGAGTAAAGACAGAAATTATGGTAGCAGCTATAGAAACTTTGATGATCTTCATAGACGCAGGTATTTATTTAAAAATTTGGATATATGCAATTTTTAGGTATAAAACTCAAATTGCAAATATCTTATTTCAGAACTGATAGATACTTAGATGAAGATTGGAGAACAGGTAGAAAGATATCGACTTGCGAGTCGGATGACGGGAGACAAACTCCTAAAGTTTCTTCTCACACCACTCCACTGTCGAGTATGAATTCGAACTCGACAGTACACCGATCGTCACCGACGGGGTATAGTAATGCCCCGGGTGTCTTGATCTTGCCTAACGAGACTAGTCAGTCATCTCCTAATCAGACAGCTACAACTTCTCAACAAGGATCCGGGCAGCAACAGCAAAGGACGCTGTTTGATCCCAATAATCCACATAAACCTATTGTTATTACTTCACCTGGAAGTAGAGCAGCTGTTCAAAGGTAACGTTTTATTTTTCATTCATGTAATGTATTGTCATAAGAATTAGTAAACAGCGATTTTTCTCTTTAAGGGATAGTGACATGCAAGTCTCAAGCGTTCCAGTATTTCAATCTAATGTAGGTATCACATCGCCACATTACTCTTTTCATGGTGTCCAATTGGACGGTATGCCTCCACCATACATGAACGATCAAATCGGAAATGTAAGACCTTCGTGGTATGAGCCGTTTTCTGCTAGGTATATATTGTTCAATTTTTTTACGTATGCATTGTTATATAATTTTTGGTTTTTGTTATATCATTCAGCAAAGAATCACTGCCTTCTATTGGACATAGAACGTGCCGATCTGGAATTACAATGGATAATAAGTTCCGGTGGTTTTACTTCGCGTTTAGATAGAGTCTCGTATATACGACACTTTCTTCAACAGAGCTTAAAGATCTTGCTTGAGACTGATATCAAATTCTGCCAGGCGGAAAACGTTGAGCAACACTTTTGGAAGATATTGTTTTATAATCTGATCGAGATGCTGCGAAAAGTAATGCCTAAAGAAAACTCGGAAGGACGAGAACGTTACAAGCAAATAATGTTAAATATCATTGATGAGGGTACCACTTATCTAGAAAGTTTACTGGCTACTCTTGAGACTACGTATCAGTTTAAATTAGAAGCGTTTCTTGCGTCATTGAGTCTACCTAAAGGTCTTGGACTCTTGGGTCTGGCCTTAGTTAGCGCTCAAAAAATATTTTTATTTTTGGGAGACTTAGCAAGGTACAAGGAGCAAGCAAACGAAACGAGCAATTATGGAAAATCTAGGCAGTAAGTGTTTATAATCTTAACTTATTATAAATAAGTGTATATAATCATACAACAGTAATAATTTTACTCAACATATCGGATTTAATTTTTTCTGTATTTTTTTCTGTGCAGGTGGTACTTGAAAGCACAGCAAATTAATCCTAAAAATGGCAGACCTTATAATCAACTTGCCTTACTGGCACACTATGCAGTACGTATTTACAAATTACATTCATGGCGAATGTAATTTAATATATAAATATACTTTTCAATATTTTTTCGTGTTTTCAGAGACGAAAGTTAGATGCCGTATATTATTATATGCGATCTCTTATGGCGTCCAATCCTTTCCATTCTGCCAGAGAAAGTTTGATAGGGCTTTTCGACGAAAATAGAAAAAAGGTAAGGGAACTTATGAAACGTGTTGTTAAACCGTTTGTATTTATACTAACGTTAATAATATTTTGATTTTCTTTTGCCGCCAGTATCTACATTATGTAAGTAAATTTTGATACTTGGTGTGAACTCTCTAGATGTTCATTCATCATTTATTTATTTGGTCAAGGCTTTTTTATCTGTTTATTATTTTATTGCTCGTTATATTAGATTTTTCTATTTTACGCTTTTTAAAGCCTTGATTTTTCAATCCATCTGTGCACTTAAAAAATCTTTACATTCTAATAACTCTTGATAGCAAATGTGGCGAATTAATGCCTTTTGCAACTTAATTAATATCAAACTTAATTAATATTAAAACAGTAAATATTTTGCATATATTTGTTCCATTAGCTAAATACACTTCTGCATAGCTATTTTTTTTTAGTAATCGTTTATGCGAATGTTAGCTTTAATAAAAAATTAAGGACACTATACAGAAAGAAAATGTATTCAAAATAATAATAGAAAGGGTGGACGGTACCACATATTTCTGGAGACATTCACACAAAAACACAATATCTGCTAACGATATGCTTGTAGCATTTTTGAGAGTGCCTGTTTGTAAGAAAGCCAACGTTAAATTTCCAGAAATGCTTTGCCGTAAATCCAAGTTGGAGACTTTTCTTATCTTCACTAGAGTTCTATACATTTCGTTAGCATGCACTTATCATAGATGCGGGAACTTGTACAAATGAGGAATACAAACATTGTCCGATGGACACTCTTTGTATGCCTAGCTGACTATATAAAAGGAGTCCCACTACCACCGTCTACACTCCAATAATAAAATTTTGAACAGAAAAAAAAATATATATATGTAGTTAGATAAATAAATTATGAATTAAATCCCCTCATTGAAGAATTTATAAATTAGAGCTAGATCTGGTTACGGGACACCATGCATAGCGTCATGCAGTGCTCGTATCTTCTACACTTATATATACATGGCGAAGATGTTCATATAACGGCAAATGTAACATACATCGATAATTATAACCGCCAGTTTATATCATGCATTGCATCTGTTACACGATGCATTGTAAATGCATCAGGTATACACGGTAGAGGTACTCTCTCAGTAAACGAAATATTCTTAGTACGAGTCTATCGAACGTAAACGGAAGGAAGAAAGGGAGTCGAAGGAGCGGGCGAGGATGAAGGAAAAGGAAGGTGCAAACATCATCGGTGGTGGACTGAGGAGAGAAACATGGATTCATCCAGGTGACGGTAGGCGGGTACGACGTACAACGAGCGCGACCAACGAAGCGAGATTGTCCCACGCAAGCGACTTAGAGGAGTTATCGCAATTAACGAGTGTCGAGGTATCCATTTTTGCTGTGACACCGTATTTGTCTAACAGTTTCCGAAAGCTATAATTCTGTAATTTATATCTTTCGTACTTAAAGTGCAATGCATATATTAAGCAAATGTAAAATTATCTGAAAACTTTTGCTGTGTATGATTTAAAACTTTTTTTTTTTATATAAAATCGATAAAATCGATAAATAATGATATTTACATGATTAATATTTATTTTGAACATTAGTGCCTGATAAAAACTTATAGATGTACTGTTGATATATGTTTTTGATGAAATTATTAGTAATATATTTTTAATACGTTTGATATATAATTATTTTGTTTGTATATCTCGTTTTAGAGTTTCGTATTTGTTTGTTAGGTGAACAAGCGGTTTGTCACTTCATACCTTCATGTTCACGGAAAGCTTATCACCAAGATAGGGTGAGTGTTTTATTATTGATATTTTTGTACGTTTTTTGATAAGAGAAAAGGATGTAAACCGTTGGTTGGCGGTTATACTTCTTTAGTCATTCAAAGATTCATTTACCATTATCAAGCAAGTAGCTTGTTGCTGTAGATTGGCCAACTGCCCGATATTTGCATCTTGAGAATGAGATACATTCAGCTTGGATCTCAGCCGTTGCATATCTCAACGGTGCGTTCACTACAAATTCTGTCAAGCAGAACAAATCGTCATTTTGTATTCCACTCGTATCTGGTAAAGATTGATAAAACTAATGTACATACCTTTTGATTTTGTCCAGTTTCGTATCACTGGAATAACAAACTTATATGTATCCCTCTTAGTTGACATTCTCTCGTAGAGTCATTCAAGCATTATAATATTTTTCTATGATATTTTTAAATTTTCAATTTGCAAAAGTTACGTGTCAAATCTGTGCAAAGCAGATGAATAAGAAACTTCACCGAAAGGCTCGAGTGTGTCATTTTATTCTTATTTTAAGTTTAATGAACGATAAAGATAAAATGATGTACTAGAGTATTTGGGTGAAGTTTCCGAATGCAGCCAATATCATAAAAAATAAAGTAAAAATAAAATTTAAAAAATATATAAACTTTATTATTAAATTAATAATTAATAAATGTTGGAATGCGTTTGGTGTACAATGTGTATTTGCCAAGGTATATGTTTAGTCAATCAGTTTATATGTGTACACATTTTTTAAATTTTATTTATAATTTCAGATAACTAGCAAAACTTATCTTTACTAATATCTTTATTAATATATTTACTAAAATATATCATGTTTATTAATATAATTATCTAATAAAATTCTAATTATTAGATAAGACTCTCAGATAAAGGAAGTGAACGTGCTTTGGTTTAATGCATAAATCTTATAGCACTTTCATAGTAAGTTCAGAATTGGTTATTAGTATTCTGACTTTATGAGTTAGTAGCATATTCTCAGCAAAGTAAGGCAACTACGTGAATAAATAAATTCCGTTGCTATAATAAATAATCAGAACAACCCCGATATCACGATCAAGCTGGAAATGGTGGATCGCTTAAAAATTCTAGGCTGCGCCTCGGCAAGTTTATAAATTATCGTCGATCTCGCACGAACGGGATATTATTCGCGCCGTTAGAGCGTCGTGGAATTTAATCTAGACCGACTAATCCAGAAATATTGTGCTATAGATCGCGTCCGGTCGGCCGGTGTAGCTCGATTAGTATAGGAGAAAAATAAATTGGGGAGGAATATATGTACATTAATAATGGCATTAATCGTGTCTCGCGAATTTACGAATGAAAAACGAGTCCTCGTTGTTTTCTTAAGCCTAGAAGCAAATATCTGGAGATATGTGTGTGTGGTACATTTTTATTTTATATATTTCTCCAAGAGATTCCCAAACATTCCTAATCTTTTATAAATACAACGTGTTTTATTGTGAATTCTTTATTCGATTTTTTTCGTTCATATTTTGAAATCATATATATTTTTTTATTTCAATTTGTAAAAGAATTTTCTGGTTCCATTTGGATTTTGTTGTATTAATAACGCAACGTCAGACTCTGTTCTCTGTCTCAAAAATTAAAATTAACGTGACGAAGTGAGTCGCAACTTGTTAGCTCCGTTTCGCAGGAGCTTGAAATTCAAAGAAGTGCGCCTGTAGTTAAGGAATGTTGCATGTTAGTCTGAAAATAAACATAAACGAATGCATGTATTATTCGTCCATTCGCGATCGTTGCCGAATGCTGGTACCCTGCCCTGTATACCCACGCGCGCATCGTTTTCATGACCCTATGGGGAACCCCGTCGAGCGCGGACCAACCGTGGGCATGTACGTACCCGGCTTTACGGTACGTAGCTACATGTTTTCTTGCGCGTCGGTAAAAATGTTAATTGACAATTGCGTGGCGCCACCACCGACCACATCGTCGGCAGCAGCGACGGCGGTGACTGCGGGGGGGATGTTGTCCCCGGTCGCGCGATAGTGACCTTGCGAGTACACCTTGCGCGATACCCCCGCGACCACTACGTCGCTTACCTCGCGTTTTCTCCACGATAACTCATCGGCGATGAAATCGTCCCGCGAATTTCCGACTCTCGTAAATTATCAACTTATCCAGGCAATGAGTGGAGCAACGCGATCATTTCCGCGATTGGAACCGGTAAAAAAAAGCAAAGAGGGTGCAGGGAGGGGTGGAAGAAAAAGGAGCAGAAGGTATGGGATGGTAATACCGGTACTCTATATGCGCCACTAGCAGCTACGTAGAATGCACTCTAACGCAGTCTATAATTGGAATCGGTACCGAACCGGTGCCATTGGTTAGGGGCTTGTTAACGACACGGTACGTGCGTGGCATAGGCATATGTACAGATCGCGAATGGGTGGACGGTAAGCGGATGGCCGGGGAGAGTACATGGGGGAAAGGGAGGACGATGGGAGAGACCGTGCAGAGTTGGACGCGCGTACTATGGTTGGCTTACGGTGTTGCTGGTTGCTGCTCCTGCTGCCGTAATGGATTTGGCTCATTACTGGCTGTAGGAGCACCGTAGTACGTCCGACCCTACCGAGTTATGCCCAAGGTTGCCCTCGTACAACACGGCCCATCGCGGACCATTTCCTCTCCATCATGCTATCGCGCTTTTCGCTTGCCACTGAATCTTTCCTTTTTTTTTTTTTTTTTTTCCCCCCCCCCAGTGATTTTGTTTTTCGCTGAGAACGGAGTCCGAAATTTTTCTAATCTTTTTTCTATTAAATCGGAGATAAAGTTACATTTGGACATGGGTAACTTTTTTGTGATTAAAATAATTCTATTATTGGCCTCGAGATAGATTCTTTCCAGTCAAGTAGTTTTTTAACTTTAATTTTTGTAAAAATCCTGATCGCAAATTTATTTAACTCTCTGGTGTCAAAATTTGCAATATAATGTAGTTACTAGCGCTGATTAAGTTTAAAAGGCAATAATTAATTTTAAGGAATTAAAAAATTAATGAAATTGACATTTTTGACAAAGAAATTTTTATTGAATGGATTAGAGAGTTAAAGAATGAAATTTGTAAAAAAAAATGATAAGTATTCTGTTCAAATTACAAAAAAATGTTCTGTCACAAAATTATAGAGCAATCTAATTTTCATGTGATTAAAAATTATGTTTGACTGTATATACTATCTTAATAACTTTTTTTAAATTAAACTTTTTTCCCGTGTATTAAAAAACTACTTTTCCTAAATATCTCGAAAGAATATTGAAAATAATATATATAATACAGTATGAATATATTATTAAAAATGAGATTAATGTGGATATTATTTACGTGAGGGAGATGTACATTAATACTTCCTACTAATATTTCGACCTTGTACGCTAAACTTCTTATCTTTCCTTTCTGATTATATTATGTCTGTATATCGTAAGTAACAAGAAGTATAACCATGATTACAGCGAAAGAGTTAAACATTCGTCTGAAGCGCAAGTGCGCTTTACCAACATATGCTCGTCTTTGATAGTCGATAATCTTAAGCGAACAAATCGCTTATCATCGATTAATATAGTAGTCCGACGGATTAAATCGCTTTTAACATGGTCGTATGATCCAACTTTGTATTTTTACTCGACGAGAATCGCGAGCACTGCGCCACGAGGCGGTAATTAAACCTATAAATTGGCAGGATGAAGGAAGACGACAGGAATCGTTTCGTAACACTCGTAAGGCAAGAGAAGTGGTCGGCTGGCGCTTCTACCGGTGGGTAGTGGTAGATGGGCAAGGTAGGTTTTCTCGTGGTCCACGGTGGTGCTTCTCGCGAGAGGGGAGGGGGAAATGGAGAGAAAGGGGGTGGGGGAGATCAGCGTGAGAGATGCGCATACACATTCAGAAACTTAAGTAGTGCGAGTAAGTAAAGCTACGCTATAAGGCTCCGCGAGCCCTGACTGGTAACACACATGGGTTTCCGATGGTCGTTTACCCGCGGCCCTGCGAGTGACGACCCCGCCCGCTTCAAGGGCACCCTCCTCGTCGGATACCGCAGCCTCGCGGACCAGAACCCGACTACCCGGCCCGGCTATCTTCCTCGGTACGGCGTACACTACGGACCGCACGTACGCATCTCGCGACCATCTGGATCCTTCCCGTTTGTTCCAATCGCCCTCGATGGAACAACACCTTTCTCGAATCCCCGGAGAAATTTCGTCAGATTTCTCGGCTCGTTGATATCCTGAAAAAGGAGTCTTATAATAGCTACCAAATGTCGAGTGAAATAATTTCAATTAAATTCGATTAATGTAATCAAAATAAATTTTACTTTTTTAAATGTTAGTAAATAGTTTTTCTTTGACTTATATATAATATATATATGTATTTTTGTAAATATTTGAACGTAATAATATAACCATTCGTTTGGTAATAATTACTGGATATTTAGAAAAGCAAAATTATTTTTTTTATATATTAACTAAACTTCATTGAATTTATTTCACTTAACATTAAATAGTTATTATCAGACTGTTTTTTTTTGTACTGTAAATTACGCGACGATGGTTTTACTATTGTAAGTAATAAATTAAATTTGAATCAAATTTAAAACATTTTTTAAAATTATCTAATTCTGTTGTTTTAGTTAAATTAACATATTAAGCAATGACGATATATAGAAATAATTAAAAATAATTGGAACATAACATTTTGAATTTATAACAATGTGAAATAATATTATCTATTAATCATTTTCCGTCATTATGAATATCGCGTAAATTTACTCGAGTCTCAATAATTACTATAGTATTAGAATTTACTAAAAATATGAATATATATTTGTAAATTAAAATATTAATTTCATAACGATAAAATTTGTTGATGTATTTAGAAATTATTTATATCAATATTTTAAATTTTTCGAATCATGCCAATATTAATGTTAATATTATTGTTTAATATCGTTAAAGAAATTCTTTAATTATTCTTAATATTTTT